CTTCGCAGCCAGAGCACTTAATGACAATTATACTATGAAAGTGCCAAGTGCAGTCTTGGCTCGAGACTTCTTCCGATTTCTGAAAACGAGCCACGTGTCCCAAGGCACGATTCACTGCACCGACCACGAGTTTAGAGAGCGCCGCAGATCACCGCCATGTCCAAAGCACCGCGCCTGCCACGAAATCTGGACATCGAAAAACCATCGCCCCGACCTCCTGCACCTGCCATGAAAAGTCGACTTTGGACCACAAACCCTTGCGCCCGCCACAAAAAGTGACCACCAAGTCCGAAATTGCGCACAGCGCCACAACGAGAGCGCAGTCGCGGAAAGCACCCGCTCGCGCCCACCAGTTTCTGCGAGCCTGCGCGGTCGAAATTCACTTCCAGGCCTTCGAGGTCGTAAATAGCAGCGAATTAGCTGGACAATGCTGGACACGCCGAGAGAGCACCTCGATCACACCCCCGGCCTTAACTACCACACTGTTTGGGGAAGTTGTTCCGAGGCGGAGCTTCCAACTGTGCAAAAGTTCCGCCTTTTGGCTGGCTTTTAAGATGAAAAGGGCAGAAATTCTTCAGCGTTGGAGGATCCAGGTACAGGAACAACTCCGTCCAAGAGGACTTGCAGTATTTGGGCCCTTCGTTTTCACCATGTCGATTAAATCCACAACAGTTCAAAAAACAAGTTGATCATCTTCTAGCTGATGCTGAATCCACCTTCTCCGTCGTGATCCTCTCCCAGACCTGTCCATCACTACGGTCTTTCCCTTTTGGCCTCTGTCACTCGGAGGTACAAGGACCTGTCGTGCACATCACTGGTTTTCGTGAAGAAAACCCAGTTCCAGTTCCTTCCCTGTACGATGCTGAAATCAAGCTTAGTGTTGATTGGAGATTCACCCAGAATCAGCATGTCCAATGCCCTGCTTCTGTTGGTCAAATTCTACTCAATCTGCACCCTCGGAACAGCTTCCCCCGACGGGTGTCTACTTTTTGGCGATTCAAACATCTGCGTGATCCTCCAAACATGTCCAGCTTGACAGCTGTCCCGCTCGTAAGGCATCGTACACGAAAGTGATGACAATGGGTCCTGCAGTGCGAGTGGCTTTGCAGGTGTTTGCGGGCTCTAGCGGATATCGATTTCAGAGCAATTCAGAATATGTTCTTGGGGGGGAAACATGTTTCATGGACTTGCCCACACCACATCTAGTTTTCGAGGTACTGCGCCCCGCAAACAAAGGAGGTTCTATAATGATTCACGCGATCCCTTCGTAGCGTGGTGATCGGTGGGGTGTTCTTCTGGTGGGCGGTGGGGGTGTTCTTCACTTCCTTGCCTTGCTCCCCATGTGCCTGTTCCCAATCACAACGACCCACTGGCACCTTCCACAGGTGCCAGGATGGTCACCCAGCTTCTCCATCCGGACGCACACTGCGCAGGTGTTTCCCCAAAAAAATAACGGTGGCTTCTTCGACGCCGGGTCTTACGTCACCAGGGTCTTACCGTCGTCAAACGGTCCTTCGCCGCCACACGGAGAGCTGGACCTCTAGGCGTCGAAGACGAAGGCGCGAGAAGCCGCGAAGATCGAAGACGCGGGGACTGAGGAGATCGATCTACCAAAAGGGTTTCTCGGGACGAACATCGTCTCGGTTTTGTTGCGAACCTGATGGTGTGCATTCTTGAGTTGGTGTGGTAATTGATGTATCGTTCATACTCAATGGCCTCATGTCAGAAACCGGTCTCGGGGATCGTTCCATGTGTTTTGAACCTCTACATATAACTTCATTCTCTGTTCTTTTTCTCGGAATCCAATATAATCCATCTTTTTGCATGTCTGGCGAGCGATTTCGAGCCGTCAGACCCTCTGAGAGCCGTCAATCCTGTGAATGTCCAAGAAATGCGCCCAAAAGACTCCCAGTAGGTTGGAGGCCATCGCTATTAGGTTCCTTAAAGTCTTTGTTCGCCCCAGAGACTCCACACAAACATTCCAGCTCCTACCGACGATCTGCAGCTCAAGTGGCACCGCAGGTCTGGCCTCCGACAAAACGAGGAGCTTTATGTGAGGGAGTGAATGGAATCTGACTGATGTTGAACTGATGTTGAAGAACACCAAATGTGCGGACTCAGTTCTTATTTTCTCCAGATGTGGGGTCACCTTTCATGGCTTTCTGTTGCATCAAGCCCGCAGTTGGTCATGGCTCGACCTGTGATTGGGCCATGACAAAATCACCAAAGACAGTTCATCAGGTTCAAGCCCCAGAGTAAAATACCTTTAGGTTGGGTAGTGGAAACGGATGTTCAAAGCACCTGGACATGTCAGGAACCGTGCTTCTGCCAGCACTGACTGTCCAGCCACGTTGACATCATTGAAGCTCGCAGCACTGTGTATGTCCATCCGTAGCAAAGCACACAAAGACAGACCGGACAAAAACTTCCTGGTCCTCCTACCCATCTGAAACAAACCCAAGATTTCGGTGTGAAGGGTTTTATTCCACACCCTTCTTTCTCCGCACAGCGGCCACGGGATGCGTTAGACGAATCGATGAGAAAAACATAACGCCCCTCCAATCTTCTGTTTTTTGGTACTCCCCTTAAGTCCTTGTGAAGAAACATGGAAAGACCGCCAGGTGCCCTCCACGTTCCACGTTCGGAGGCTACCCACCTGCACTGTGGCTTTCCGAAGGCTCACGGAGCTTTTCACCAGAGAGGCCTCGCGAAACGCGCGAAAGACGGCGGCGCAGCGAGCGTTCGGCGTTCGGTGAAGGCGAAGACCTCTCGTTGAACGAAGACGTCGCACGGTTGGTCAGAGTACCTCGCTATTGATCGAAATCACTACCGCGCCTTCCATCTTTCACCCTGAGTCTCCGGCTTCGGCGGTTCAAACTCCCGCTTTCACCCAGGTTTGGGGACCCAAAAGACCCATCCTGCCAGTCGCAAGTCCCACCTGTCGCAAGTCCGGCGGCCTCACCGGCACACCTGCCAAGCAATCGACGTCTGACTCGAAGGCGTTCGGACATCGTCGACGTCACGGACGAGGATGGGCCCATCGCGGCGCGCCCAAGCACGGCATCTGGGAGTGTTTGGGCCCCCCCGCGATTGTGCATCGCGTTGTCGACTGAATTCATGATGTCAGATCGAAGTTCAGATCTTGGACATCATCTCTCTTTTCCGTTCCAAAGCCCAAACGCCTTCCGCCGCCTTTTGCACCTCCCTGCCTACCCCTCCCCTCCCCTGTCCCACTCTTCGGCTCGGCTCCGGACGGTTGGCCGCGCGGCGCAGCACGAAGCCATCGAAGTCCAGGACATCGGGCCGCGGCATCACCTCGGTCCCGGAACGCGGTTCGGGAAGCGGGAGCCAGGTGTGTTGACTCGTGTGGAGATCGGATTGGAGAAAGACTCCGAGAGGAAAGGAATTGTGAGCGTTTTCAGGCCTCTCCCCTGTGGGATTCCAATCCAAAAATGATCCGGGGAGTAGTCCAGAAGTTTGTGAGACCCAAATAAACGCTTTGGTCACTTGACGAAAACCGCCGGGCAGTGCATGTCGCCCATATTCTGGTGGTTTTCTGTTTTTTGGTGGACGAACCAAATCCAGTGATTCTTCCAAGAACTGAAGCATTCAGCCTAGCTCAAAGATGCTCAAAGCAGAACATGATTGTGAAGGTGTAGAAATGGTGACCTTCTTCTTGCAGCTGTTTATCTTCACCTTCCATGTCAAGCGAATAGCATCAAATTGCCAACCAGCGAGGAGTAGGCGTCCAAATCAGGTTGGCTTATTTACCGTATACAAATGCTTAGCACAGAATAATATATAACATGGATACCAAGTGAGAAAGGCCGGTACATTTCATGCCGCGTTCATTTTTGGTGTAGTCGGTCTCCCCACAGTGTCATGACCTAACCAGCACATCGTCAGTCGGTGAAGCGGCGGTCCATCTCGGGCACCAAACCGGCATGAGATTCTGCGGTTCATAGCGCCCGTTCCGCATCACCTCAGACCGATGAAAAGCCCTTTCTGCAGGAAACAAGGCATGTTGCATCGTCACGCAACATGTTCCTCCTTCTTCAGCATTGCACAAGGCAAAACCCCACGAATGTCTCTTCCCCAAGAGTCTTCAGGCTTCTTCAGCCAAATACTTAAGCACAGCTAGGCCGCAAAGATTGAGGAACGCGGAGGTGGCGGTGGCATCTCCTCCTGAAAAATGGATTCACTCAGGCGAGGGATAAGTGAACCTATGCATTCAAAAAAGGACGATAGAGCACAGTCACATGCGTACAACTTGCGCAGTTTCATCGAGCTTTGCCTATCACCTTGCATCAACTCGCGCATTTCAAGAAGTACCAGGGATGACCCGTATCATCACATAATTTCTTGCGCAGCTAAACCCCCACATGCACTCGTCAAAATCACCTCTCGGCGAAGAAGCAACGCGACGAGCGGTTTTTTCAGCGACGGTCCTGAGAGTCCCATAATGCCCACATGGCGTGGCGGTCCAAGGGAGATTTGTTGGGGGCAAAAGCGACGGTTGTGACCGGGTGGAGAACAACACATGCTTCACCCTAACGACATGCTGCGCATGATGACGACATGCTTTTCTACATGCTTCCAATCGTGCGCCTGCTTTTGTGTTCGAACCCACCACGAAAAACCAAGGCAACGAATGCCAAACAACCACGCGACGACCCGGCGACGCGAAGGACCTGACGAATGCAACCGCTGGGAACCGAAGACGGCGGCGGTGCCAGCGGTTGGTGACCGGTATGCTCATCGAAAGGCATTCCGAAGCGAAGAAATGGATCTAGATCAGTCCCAAGCACTTGCTTTGCTCTTCTTTGCTCGTAAAGGATCTTGAGATCCCAGATTGGAACAGCCATTTGTATCCATTTCTGTTGTTTGGCTTTCCAGCTTGTCATGAAAAAGCATGGGATCCCCTGCAATATGTGAGCCTCCGCGGCGAAGGAAGTCACTTCCGCGGCAGAAACTCTCGAAAAAGCACCGGACGATTTCGCCTGTCGCATGAGCTCCGGCGCGTCCTGGGGAAAATGCCGTGTGGGAGCGGAAAGCATCCATTCCCGATGAAGAGCCGTCAGAGAACCAACGGAAGAGTTCTGGCTTCTTCGGGGAAAAGCACCCTGACCCGACCCTTCTTCAATCGCTCAATTTGAATCGTGACTCCACTTTGCCAACCGCCTTCTTTGCCAACCCGGTGGAGTCTTTGGGCACCGCTCGCTGCTCGCTGCTTGTGAAGTCTTTGGGGTTTGGAAGTCATACGTGTCTCTACATGGAAGTACTTGGCTTGGACACAATTCAATCCAAGATCACTCCAAAGTCCGAAGCGAGCGAGCCTTCAAGAGTTTCAAGCATTGGTCAACAACTTAGCAGTTTACAGACCATTGTCTTCAACAGAGCACGATTTCGATGCGCGGTTCCTCTAGAAGTGCACGATCCTTCTGAGTGGAGATCCTTCTGAGCTGCTTTCATCTCCGATTTTCAGCCATCCGACGGGTTGGAATCGCCATCCGACGGATTCCACCCCTCGAAGAGAACACGGCCCTTCCAAAAACGAGACACGGAAGCCTCGCCTCACGCCATAGAAGCTCCAAGAGCATCCGACGTGCGAGGACCACCTGGGCTCTTTTCATTCGGTCAAGGAGTTTCTGGTTTTCGTTACACCAGAAACCTTAATTACAAAAAAGAACCTTTCTGGATCACAGAGTGCCAAGCTTTCAGTAATAGTTCTGGATGATCTTTCTGGTGTGCCAAAAACATCCTCCAGAAGTCTTTCTCAACTTCCAGATCCGCACCTTGCTCAAAGACTTCTGTGCAAAGGCGTCGAGTGCCTCTCGCACACGCGCCTGCGCAGCCCGAACCGCGTGGAGCGAAAAAAGGTCGAAGGATCGGCCACCGGACCTACAGAGAGCTCCAGCGTCCGACCTCCGGAGTCGTCTTTTCACTAGGACCATGTAGCTCAAATAGGGAGATAGACTCAGATAGACTCAGATAGACACCCCCTTGTTCAACCTCCAGGGAGGTTCGAACAGACCAGTCGTCACCCCAAGGCTGAGTGTCTCCATATCCACCCCTTCGTGTTGCGCCTCGAACTCCTCCCGCGGCACCGTGTCTCTTCTGGCCGCCACGACCTCGGCTTTCGCGGGTCTCCACCCCCTGCAGCTTGGCCTCCACTTGGACGTTGATCGATTTTTTCTGAACTTTGGTGCTGGAAGGATCTTGAAGGTGAAGAGAATGAGACGATTCCTCAACAAAATATTCTTGAACACCGAAGCCTCCAAGAGATGCAGCGATGGCTGTACGTCAGTGTCCTGGTGTCCTCAAAAGAACATACGTCTCAGACGCTGGCAGCGCGTCGTTGGCGGACACTGGCTGGCGGCACACGGAGTAAACGTAGGGCCTGAGCTGAAGCAGTTGATGCCAAGCTTCAACGAGCTGAGCAGGCTTTTCCACGACCAGCACAATCAAATGAGGCAAAAACAAATGGCTCGGCTCTGAAGAATTGTAGAGCAGAAAAGAAGGAAGGAGTTGCTACAAGTACCACAACTGGTGATTTGCAAACCAGGGGGGGTCACTTCTTCAGCTGTTGCCCAACTGGATTGAAATACGTGTTGGTGTTCAGTGTTCACTCTACTTCCCCTGATTGCTCACCTTGGAATCCACCGTTCACCATTCAACGCAGTGAGTTTTCACTCACTCACACCTCTCCCCCGCCTCTGTGGCCCGTTCTCGCTCAGCCTCGTAGCTATGCCTCGGTGGTCGTCCAATGAAACCACCTCCAATGGTGTTTGGCCACAACGAAGGCGAAGGCGTCTGGCCGCCGCTCGATCGAAGACGAACGACCGGTCCGCGCCAAGGATCCCAACTCCTCCTCGTCCTGGGAGACGTCAGTTCGTTCCGGTCGAAAGGGGACAGGGGTGGAGATTACAGAGGCAAAAAGCCACAACAAGCACGGCCATGATAATTCGGCGGTGCTTCCAATAGCATCAATAGCTGTAGCTGATACTTTATGTTTTTCTCTGTCTGTTGGGCGATGTCTGATGTCTGATGTCCTTGCCCCAAATCGTCTCCCATGACGTCCATAAGAACTTTCTTAGGCCCTCTCCTCGCGCCAGCGCAACTGCAGAGCGAGTACCTGACGCCGACTGCTCAGCAACCAAAGGACCTGGCACAACATGTGGGGGGACCCAACTGGTCTATTCCCCTTCTTCCAGGAGGTTGAACTGGCAGGTCTTCCATGGTCTCTCTATTCAAGTACACGCCCATGTCACTCCTTCTAGGAACGTCTGTTGGGCACGAAAAGTGCCAACTGATTACAGCAGAGCTTTCGCTGGAACCTGTTTTGATCAATGAATATCAATGATATTAAAATGCTTCCTGAGTGGGAGCAAAACCGAGAAAAGCATAGAAAACAAGCATGGGATTCTCCTGCCAAGAACAAGAACTGCAGACCCGCCGAGTGCCAGCACCCCAAAGACACCCACCGTCGTCGGGGCACGGCACGCTGAAGCAGGCGGCCTCCAAAGTTTCGGGTTCCGGAGCTTCCCAAGAGAGGCACGAAGGAACCAGGTAACCAAAACATGAAATCCCGGCTCAGAAGCAGGAAGAAAGATCCTTGAATTGAACACAGAATCTCTTCCACCAAAGAAAACCGAGACCATACAGTGCTCGATGTCTGTGCATTGGCCTTCCGCCTGCTGCATCCCAGCTGCAGGTGTGCCAGGAGTGCTCGAGGCCTGCACATATGGCAGCAGCGTGAGCTTGTGCACGCTCTTCGTGAAATGTTCCAGTCAAGACAACGATGAAACTGGAGTGGTAAGGACTGGGGTGGTAGGGAGGAGGAAACAAACATGGTCATACACTCCATTACACTCCCAGAGATATGCCGTGTATGCTGAACCCAGCCTGATGTTCAGGTCCTTGTAAGTCGAAGGTGCTGAATTTCTATCTTGCTATCCTAAATCTTGGCCATGAGCGCAGCCTCACCCTGCAACTTCACCTCCCAACCCATGTTTGCTAGGACCCAATCTCTGAGGGTTAGCATCTCCGTCATCTCCGGTTCCCTTTGAGCCGAGCCAAGGACCATCGCCTCACCCGACCCCAACGCCTCACTTCCCTCCGTCGAACCTCCACTGGGAGCCTCCGGGTGCAGGAACCAGGGGGTGGATGAGCAAGAGGGGGGTGGTGCGTTCCCGGCGAAAGGCGTGTGTGGTGGTAAACTGTTGGGCTCCGGGTGTTGATGGAAAGACCGTGTTTTCCACTTGGCAGCATGTTTCGGCCAGTTCCTCGCTTGTGCCAATCAAGTGCCCGGCACTCACCAGCGGCTGCACCGCAATTTCCTCAGCTGTTCAGCTGGTTTCCAGCTAACAGGCCAGTTTCTTCACTTCAGATATATCAACGACCTTGTTCCTCTCGTTGGATCTGGACGCACCACCGTGGCATACTCTGAGACGATGGGGATTTCATTACTACTAAGCCATTGAGGGATGAAAGAACTGCAAGTTATGTTTGGTGGTGAGTTCTGGAACATGGCAACCAGGTGTCCAATGATGATCTCCATCTGTCATCAATGTCCAGGAGTTCAGGTAATATTACGGTAATCTGATGTAATATTGAGCTTCACCGGAAAGTCCCGAAACACCGGACATCTTCTGTAGAAACGAGTTGCGAGGACTAGAGGACTGCAGGACATGCGTCCGTCGATCTCAGCATGCTGCCAGCCCAGCTGGGCCGCCCGGACGGCACGTGGCAGCATCCAATAGCTTCGCCCAAAGGGCCTGAAGATCTCCGCCGCCGCGAAAAACCCACTGATTGATGCAAACCAGTCTGACCAGTCTGCGGCAGAAGGAAGTCTGTGCACAAGTCAATCTGGTGATCATCCGAAAATGACTCAGACCTTTCTTTAACCTTCAAACCTCCCAACAGAACGATCCAACACAATTATAAAGCAGCAAGAACAGACCAGAGCACAGCACGTCTGTTCAGAATCGCTTTCCTCCCCATCACCCGCCAACCGTCTCTCCCCGTCTTTCCCGCTCCGTGCTCCGTGGCCCCCATTCAGCGCCGCCGGCGTCCCCATGAAAGCGCGCGCCACCTGGGTTTCGGTCGTTCAGCACATCGGTCGTGAAAAACCGCTCGGATAAACATCCCACCCCCAAGACCAATGGGATGGAAAAAAAGGAACAAATGGGATGGTGGAAAATGTTCAACAATTACAGGTTTTTAGGTTTTGAAAATTAGCCAATGGGATGGGGGAACAATCGGAAAAAATAGAACAGAAGCCACCCCCGACAGTTGGACCCAATCCAGAAAGAGCACGCGTCCTTCCTCTTGTCCTCGTTCACCTGTCCCGTGCAGAACCGGTCGTCCGGGTCGCAGGGTCGGACCCTCATCGTCCGAGCCAGCCACCCATGTAGCGGATGCTCTCGTGCGCGTCGCCCAGCTGGGGCAAAAGGTTCTCGCCGTCGGCACCTGACGGAAGGCCCATTCGGCGAACCGAAAAGGGAAGGCAGAACGCGTGCAAGACGCGTGGTCCGCGTGGTGCAGAAGAAGGGATGCAAAAGCGAAATGGAGAAAATAGACCAAGTAGTTGTATGAGCTGTTGGCAGCTGATGTGCTTTGGCCTCGATACCTTTCACTAATAGTAGACACTGAAGAAGAACTGGCGACTTGGAAGAAAGATGTCACGCGTTCTGGCTGAGTGGATTGAGAAGCTAATTGTTTTGTACTTCTCCACAACCAGCCGCTGCCCCAGCGGCCCCAGTGCCCCACTCTTTTATCAGTTCTGGCGCTTGTGTAACAATGTCCAATGTCGAACCAAATTCAGCTCTGCAGACCACATGCTTCGCACGGTTTCGGCTTTGTTGTGGGAACTGGGGGAACACCAGCCGCGCAAGCACTGTTTCAGGTGACTATTTCACAGCGAGGACGATCTCCGGCCAAGCCGGCCATCAGATTCATCGGGGCTCACTTGAAGTCCTTCTCGAGAAGCTCGGTGCCTGGCGTTTCTGGCGTCGAGTTTCTGGCCATGAGACGCTCTCCCAAAGACAAATAGAACCGGCCTTGACACAGAAAGAGACCACCTGGTTGACTGATCTCCTTCTCCCGACTCTTCGATCAGCAAGACGTCCCAACCGACTGACCCGGACTACCGACGCCCTTGGCCGCGGCCCAAACCGGGTTGGTCTGCGCGTCGTCTCGGGTTCGGCATCTGAAAGAGAGAAGACAAACATGAAAAACCAAAAAAAGAAAAAGAACGACTCAGAACGAATCCAATGTCGGACGACACGATAGGGTGATCAGAGCAAATAAAGAATTCATAGAAAAGGAACGGACCAAACCAACTCCTTCACTCCCCCCAACCACCCTCCATGCCCATGCGCACCCCGAACCGCCCCGATGTCTGGCCGCGGGGACCCCGATCGTTGGAGCGCCTAAAATGGCGGCGATCACGAGGCCCACATCCACCCGCGGACCGATCCTGGACCGGAGACGGTGCTCCGGTCCGGTTGGCGCCGGAGATGGTGCTGAAGGTCGGCAGAAGGACCACGAAGGACCACGGTCGGGGTCAAGAAAAGGGAACAGAAGAGATGGTTTTGGTGAGAGGACCGCGTGGTTCACCGTGGTAGGCGTGGTCTTGTTGTGTCCTGTTTGCTTCACACACAAAGGGGATCGAAATCGATCGCCCTACAGGGAACAACGAAGGCACTGTGCATGCCGAATCTGCAGCTGGGCAGGTGCCAACTACGGTTTTCAACATCTAAGAAGACAGCATTTCCAGGACCTTGAAGGTTGAGGTCATGGTGTCGCAGCCCGTGAGACATGTAGTAAGTTGGAGTAGTAAGTAGTCCTCAAATGTCCAAATTGTCCTGCAAACAACGACGAGCAAAACAATTTGAGCCGTCTCCCTGCCAGCATCTGGCCTGATCTGCCGTGTTCCTGGCGAAAAGCAGGTGTACGCTCGTGGCACCCTGGGCACCCTGTGGACTGAACAAAGTCCTAAATGCATGCACGTGCCTGGCATATGTTATACCATCCTGAATCAAGCCTATGATAGCCTATGTTGTCTACTCCTACTTATCTGAACAGAGTCAGCATAAGTTGAGCTTTCTTGCCACCCACGCAACCCCTACCCCTGAATGTAAGTTTAAATATCTCAAAATACACTCATTGCACGTGGTGGTTGGAGTGTGTCAGCAGTCGCAGGTGAACCTGATGCTCAACCACTGTTCCCGCTGGATTGATTGAATACGGCGTTCCGCTAAGTTCCACAAAATCATCACACAGATCTCAGCGAAACCTGATTCAAACCGATCCAAAAAGAGAATACCGGAGACATCACGAGGAGACCTCACGACGCCTTCCGCATCGGTGTTCCACATGTCTGTTCCGCTGCTCGTCCAGTGCGTTGGGTCGCCCAGTTTCGCCCCCCACGGCCACGGTCGACGTCGCTCGTCTGGCCTTTCTCGGACTCGCAGAGAGCCATGAGCCGAGTGTCTTCGTCCACGACCTGGACGAAGGTCGTGCAACGGTCGAAAACCGTGAACGGGGGAGGCAAAGTTGATGGTCTCTTTTCTGGTCATCATCATCTTCTTCATCATCATCATCATCTTCTTCTTCTTGTTGATCTTCTCCATATCTCCGTCTTCTTTCAACGACACGATCGATGTCCTTGCGTTCCGTGTCCTCCACGTACGAGGTCGTCATCGGTCGGTCGAAAACGAACACCGGGAGGACGCACCGTTCGGTTCGCGATGCCCGTCCGAACGCTCCATTCGGTTCGCGTCCGAAGGCTCCGATTAGTGAACCAAAAGAAAGCAACACGGTTTTCGTGAAAACCCAGAAGTCCCGTCTTCGTGAACACCACGCCACACGGTGTGGGAGAACCGATCAACCGCCACACTAGAACGCCGAGAACGCCACCCTTTCTTCGTAGAACCCGCGCCATACCATTCCCATACCGCCCCCATCCGGTGCCAAGCGGCATTGAGACGACCAGAACTACTTTGGAAGCGGATGCAGCGGCCGGAGCCCAAGAACTCGGCAGGACGTCGGGTGACCCGGCGGGGCGTCGGTGCGCCGGAACCGAAGAACGAAACACAGAGAGCAGCTGCTTAAAGGACAGGGGTGACCTGGCTGGACCACCCTACACTGCTTATGTCACCAGACAGGACACCCAAGCAGGAAGCGCTAGGTAGATGCAACGGTTTCTGACTGAGACATGCTCATGAGCTTACAACTTAAGCACCCGAAAAATCTATGTCACAGGATCCCCCAGAAAACGACATAGAACGAACACTACACTTGCTTGACAGGATCCCAAAACGCCCGAGCCGCTCGCCTCGTAGTCGCCATTCTTGAGGCTCTTGAGCATTCCTGGGGCGAGTGCCGTTTGGAACGGCGTGGCACGGAGCTCTGAGAGTGTCGGACGGGGGGGGCCCCCCCTTCACCCCGGACTGGGACGTGAGTCGAACGTGAGGATGAAAGTACACACCACCAAATGCTGGGCCTTTGCTTTCTGCTCCATGCTTTTGAGATGGGACTGGGACTTCTCTTTTTCATGGTCTACCCCAGGTCAGCGGGGTTCCCCTCCGCCGGAGCACCGCGGCGGAGCAACGAAACGCGACGTTCGTTCGGTCGAGACACCTGTCCCTGTCCCGTGGCGTCTCATGCCCAAGCACTTTGTTAATTTGCCTGCAAACACTTGATTTGCAGATGTGCATGCTGAATCCAAAGCATGCTGAATCTTCTGCATCAAAGACCCTTGAGTGAAACCTTATGAAGCCTTTAAAAGAATGGTAACAACTAACAACCTGGAATCTCCGTCTTGCTTGCCCAAGCATCCGAATTCTCTATCCGTTGGCCCGTGGATGGCTAAAGCCTCGGCCGTCTGCGAAGCATCAGACAGATTTGCGTTTCATCAGACAGATTTGTGAAGCATCAAACTTGTGTGGTTTCCAGGGTAAACCAAAAAGTCTTTGAGTAATCTGTTTTGTTTGATGTAGAAATTGATGAATTGATTTGTATCCCGTTCCTCTTGTCTCTTTCACTTCTCACCCCATGCAGACAGGTCACAGCCATGCCAGATGCCCTGCAGCCATGGACAGATGATCGCTCTGAGTCTTGGGAGTGAAAGTCTACAGACGCGACGTCCATCTTTGGTTTATCCATCAAAACAAATAAGAGAACCACCGCGACGAGGTCCCATCTTTTGTTATTGTCCTCTTCTCCCCATCTTTGGTAGATCGGATTAATTATATTGGTCGGTATATGCTGGTCCCTGCTACTAATGACCTTTTCTCAAAAATAGTGATCATCTTTTATGGACGGCTATACAGGTAATGGGACACACCCTAGGTCCATCTCATAAATGGAAGGAACCCGTGGAAAGCTCCAAAGCGGGAATCGGTTGATGCAAGTTGAAAAAAAAAATATTGTGCACTTAGGGACTGACGTAGAGGTTCTTCCAAGCTCGGAACAGAACAACAAAAACATGCTTGAATTCTGGATCCAACAAAAGCCACCCTTTGGAAAACACAGAGCGGAATGGCACTTCCGCCCAGGGTCGTCCGTCTGGCGCCAGACTCTTCGAGGAACGGACCGCATCACCTCCCAACAAAAGCTTTAAGTGACAGGACCCGTCACCTGGGGTACCACCTGTCCACAGACTCGAACCAGGGTTCCACCCACCAAGCTGGTAGGTTTCTTCCTCACCTGGCATTGCGGATGGTCGCGAAGACCTCGTGGCTGGGACCTCGGCAGTTCACAGGCGGCGGAATGGACAGAACGGCTCGGCCGAGGAAGATCTGATGGTCAGTGGTCAGTGACCACATCTTCCTCATCTGTCCTTTGCCCCAAAATGGCTCGCCTTTGGAACCAGTGCCATTGTCCGAGATCCTTCCATCGGAGCTGTTCAGGCCATGCAGACCCTCTGGGGTTCAGGCTCTTGAGGATCAGTCGCGCATTGTCCTTCCCATTCGGTTTCTCCGTCGGACTCCGTGAAACACGTCTTCTCGCTGGTTCCCTCTGTTCCCTCCCGTTTGGGAAACCCCGTGATGCATCCCAAAGGTCAGTCTCGCATCTCATCTGGAAGGTCTCAAGCTGGAAGGTATGGAAATCCTATCAAGTCGTTCATCATCCCTTCCTCTCCCTCTCCCTTCCTCTCTCTCTCCCCTCCCCTGTCCCGTCCTCCTCACCGCGGCTGGCGATCAGGACCGTCTGACCTTTATGATCGTTGATGGAGATCTGCCACAGCGCTCCCGTGCCACGTCGCGCGCGTGCGCGGCCGGTCGCTCCCATCCGGTCGCTCCCCAGCGAGCGACACCCCAGGGTCGGGAGTCGGCCACTTGCTGCTCTGAGTGTTCAAACACCGTGGGTTTCCGAACAGATTGCCTTGAAGTGAAGCTTCAACCGCCTAGGCAACCTGTTCGAAGGACCGTGGTCCGTGTACGCCTGCATGTAATGCGAAGAAG